TATGCGGCCGTCGATCTTGACGTGGAGGATGAGGAAGCCGGAAGCCTTGTCTTGGGTGAGGGCGTCGCAGAGGTAGGGCGCCACCGGGACGTTGGGGCCGAAGAGGTAGGGCGACCAGATGACGACGTCGTTGTGGCCCTGGTACATCGGGGGCAGGGCGGTGGCGAGGCTGATCTGCTGGTTCTTGTAGGCGGCGTAGACGAAGATGCGGTCGTAGTAGATGCCGATGCGGTCGTTGGGGTTGCGGGAGGCGATGGTGACCTGGAAGACGGTGGAGAGCAGGTTGCTGGGTGGGCCGGTGTAGTTGAACTGCAGCACCACCGCGCCCTGCAGGTAGAACCGGGGCTTGGTGGGGCGGAGCACCAGCCAGATGATGAGGATGATGAGAAGGATCAGAATTATGAAGCCGACGATGCACCCTAAGATGCGCCAGAAGCGCTTCCGGAGCTTCCACCACTTGCTGTGGTCGCCGCAGTCCTTGCCCGACATCTTCTTCAAAACCACACGCAAATTGAGGGATGAACGTAGTAGAAATGTCAATGGAGGAGACAAGGAAGGTTCGGTGGCAGGCAAGTGAGGTAATATATAAGAAAGAAAAGAATGGTAGTACTACACCACGGCATGGAAGATTAGTGCGATGGCATGGTGTGCTCGGGTGTGCGGTGGTGAGCCTCTGACTGATGATTAAGGATAAGATTCTTCTCCTATGCTCGGTAAAAGTAAAAAAATATGGGAAATATTAGGTGATCCATCGCTTGTTTACCGTATGATATGATTCCCGATTCTCACGGTAATTTAGTGCATCGAGTGACGAGCGATTACCATCATTCCTTATCTCAGACAGATGCTTCTCCAAAGCTGTGGGTCGGCAGTGATGGAATGAGTTTAGGCACCTTTCTATCCTCCACTACTGCGACGTGCCACCAACCTTTGGCTTCTTGCAATCTGCGCACGCATCATTCGCCACTCCTTTTCCCCTTTAGACTCTCTTCCAGTGAGAGGTTTGCTCCGTCGTCCTACACTCGCAAATATTCTATCATATCACAAAGCAAAGATGGCTTAACCACTCGTAGGGTGATGGATCTCCTAACGTACGAAGTAGCATAATCATAAGAAACAGAAGAAGTAGCAAAGCTAAGTCACTTTTCTACGGCAGGAAGGAGGGTGGTAAAAAAGAAGGCGTCGTCGTCGTTCCTTTTGGAAGAGACACGTCTGCGGCGACGATGCATGTCTCCGTGAGGTCTCACAAGTATCTCTGCTACGCACGAATTATTCTTCCCGTCATTATTATGTTGACGGGTAAAGGAGGTCTACGATGTGGACGTGTGGAAATACGAAGCGTATAATAATCTAAGATGATCAAGCAAAAGTCAAATAGAAGACCGATCGCGTTGTTCCTTTCGAAGCCTGGCATAAAAAGCATAGCCAAGTAGCTACAATCATGTATTTATATATTGTTTTCACCCTACGGCATTTTAAGCCACCAAAAGGAGTTACACACACCAAACCTCGGCATACAAGCGTTTCGATAAGATCGAAGGCAGCAGCCCACAACAGAGAGATCCTTTCCAGCCGACACAATTTAGAGATAGAGAGGAATGGAAGTATCCACGAAGCACTTTTTACCTCAGTGTCCGATGTGATCGAACGAATTAAACAAGCACAGGCCACGCTGCGCCACTCAAGTCAATTTCTCATTCGTAACACAAAAGAGACATGCGGTGGGCCCCGAAAGGA